GCTCCAGTGGGCACCAGTAATGTCTCCATTTTGAGACTTGTTACTGTTTTTGGCATATTGAATACACCATGGGGATCTTGCCAGGCTCTGCCATGTGGGTGGGATACTCTCGGTAGCTTGCTGGGCTCTCCAAGAGGGACAGAGGAATCGAACCCGGGTTGGCCATGTGCAAGGCAAACGCCCTACCTGCTGCACTATCGCTCCAGCCCGGATCCCCCCAAATATCAGAAAAATCATATGGAACTTTTATGAACATAACTTAAAAAATTTAGATGCAAAGAGACACTCCTTCAAAACTACAAGATACAAAACTTATCAAACATTAAATAGGTAACTTGATGAGCCTTTATATATTTTTTAACAGAGTAGTAATGTCTATTTTAAAGAACCAAATATAAATTTTAGTACTTAAAAGTATAATTATCTGAAATTTAAAATTTTCAAAATTTTAAACAAAATAGAGATAACAAAATAATTAGTAAACTTTAAATTAAATACTTCCCATTATTGGGGCTGGGCTGGAGCGATTGCACAGCGAGTAGGGCGTTTGCCTTGCATGCAGCCAACATGGCTGACCCAAGTTTGATTCCTCCGCCCCCTCTCGGAGAGCACCGCAAGCTACCGAGAGTATCTTGCCTGCATGGCAAAGCCTGGCAAGCTACCCATGACATATTCGACATGCCAAACACAGTAACAATTGTCACAATGTTACTGGGCCCTCTCGAGCAAATCGATGAACAATGGGAGGATAATGATAGTGATAGTGATTACTGGGGCCAGAGCAATAGTACAGCACTATAGTAGGGCACTTGCCTTGTATGCAGCCAACATGGGTTCGGTCCCTGGCACCCCATATAGTGAGGAGTGATTCCTTAGTGCAGAACCAGGAAAAACTCCTGAACATTGCAGGGTGTGGTCCAAGGAAAAAAACAAAAAAGAGATTCCATTATTACTCCCCTTCTCTCTAACATTTTATGTGTTTTAGATACCTTGCTAGTTCTAAGTGAAAAATCCTTTGCTTTTCTAGATGTCCCTTAAGTATTTTTGGAGGGTTGTCTTAGTTATGATAAATTCCCTTAATTGTTTGTCTGAAAAACTCTTTATTTCTCCTTCAAACTGAAAGATAACCTAGCTAAGTATTCTTCGCTGATGGGGATCAGAGAGATAGTACAGTAGGTAGGGTGCCTCCCTTGAACCTGTCAGAACCAGGTTCTACCTCCAGCATCCCATATGGTTCCCCAAGACTGCCAGCTGTGATTCCTGAGTGCAGAGCCAGGAGTAACCCCTAAGCGCTACAGGGTATGCCCCCCTCAACAAAACAAAACGAAACAAAACATAAATATAGTATTCTTATTGGGCTGGAGCAATAGCACAGTGGGTAGGGCGTTTGCCTTGCACACAGCCAACATGGCCGACCCGAGTTTGATTCCTCCGCCCCTCTCAGAGAGCCCGGCAAGCTACCGAGAGTATCTCGCCCGCACGGCAGAGCCTGGCAAGCTACCCGTGGCGTATTCGATATGCCAAACACAGTAACAACAAAGTCTCCAATGGAGATGTTACTGGGCCCACTTGAGCAAATCGATGAACGGGAGGACAGTGACAGTGACAGTATTCTTATTGCATGACTGAAACATAATCACGGAAGTTTGTAAGTCTGTATCTCACAGTGATTCATTAAAATAAAATTTAAAAAAGAGTATTCTTGGTTGGAGGTCTTATCCATTTAGTTTCTGTTGAGAAATCAGTTAAAAGCTCTATGGGGGTTCCCTCGTGTGACTCTTAATTTTCTTGTACTGCTTTTAGGCTTCTCTGATATTTGTTGTTTTAATTATAATGTGTCTTCCTTAGTGTGTGTGTGTCTATTTTGTTTTCTTTTGTTTGAAACTTTTTGAGCTTTCTGATTTTGAGTATATATTCCCTTTCAGTATGGGGAAATTCTTGTCTATTAGTACTTTAAATAAGAATTCTGGGGCTGTAGAGATTAACTCAGTGGACTTCAGTACATAATTTGCATGATGGAGGCCTGGGATCAGTTCCTGACACCACACGGTCTCCAATCGAGCAGAGCCAGGAGTAACCCCTGAGTACCATCAGGTATGTCCCAAGAACCAAAACACAAAGCAATAATTTTGTACACCAAAACCATAAAAGTTAACACTATTGCAACCATGCCACCTAAACTATAATTTTAAAAAAGAAAAAAAACTGCCCCCCTTTTTTTATTCTCTTCTCTTTCTGGATGCCCTATGATTGGAATGTTGTTCTTCTTGATGCTGTTCCATATTTCCTGTATGTTATGTTCACTGTTTTTAGTTCTTGTTTTTGCTGGTCTTTTTTGGCTGGTTTCCACTACTTTATCTTCAAACTCATTGATATGATTTTTGGCTTCTTCCACCCCATTCTATTGTACCTTTTAGCTTAGCTACTGTGTTATTTAGCTGTATGAGTACAGATTGTTCTTTGTTCAGACTTTCTCTAATAATTTCTCATTCTTTGTCTAAATTCTCCTCCATCGACCTCCTCATTTCAGTGATCATCATTTGGACTGAATTTCTCTTGCATTGATCTTCTATTTTCAGTGAGCATGAATAGTTCTATTGCTTTGAAATAGTCTTCAAATAGCCTGCATAGCTTTACTATATTCAGGGTTTTTTTTCCAAGCTATTGTCTTGACCCACCAGATCCTTTATCTGCTGCTTATACTATGTTTTGTGAGGACCTAGGTGGGCATTGGGGACGTGTGTTTGAGCAGGCCTGATGATGACCTATCATCCTATTCACAGTAAGATGCCTGGTAATGGCTGTAACTGTGAGATATACTGGGCCTGGATGATGACTATGAGTTTTCAGTTATGAGTAGGTGGCTTTTGATGTGGTGCTGGTTTAAACAGGTATGGGTAGCGACCAAGAGTTTAAGGTCATCAGTACCTAGCAGCCACTAGGCTACTATGGTCATCAAAGTCTGCTCAGAGGCTCGGGAACTTGTGCAGGGATTGGTTTAAGAGGAGGCTGAGGTCTCAGTCCCATCTGGTGACAGGGTATGCATTCTATAGTGGCAAAGAAGAGTCTGCTTAGCCAAGGGCTTGCAAGGGAGCATAGCAAACAGTTTGGGTCCCTTGATAAGTGATTATACTTCAAGTGTTCTGCAGGAGTTCTTTTATTGTTTGGTGGTTACATCTATCGTGTTCAGAGGTCACTCTTCCTTTGTTGGGGGATCATATGGTATGGGAGACCCATTTGTTTTGCCCAGGAGTTCTTGTCTGTAGAGATGTGGCTTGCTTTCTAGGTGTCTGATATGTACTGGCAGGTGCTGGGTTAGTTTCTCTGCCTGAAAAAAAACTTTTATAATTATCTCTGGACCCCTAATGACTAGGGTGGGTGGAGTTCTCCTCAAGGGTTTGCCTTCAGGGTTTATTAGTTTGGAGATTGAGACCCAGTATTGTGTCCACTATCACTGTTATGTGCACAACTGCTAGAGGTCATCACCAAGCTGCCAACAGTCAGTTGTTCTGGCCTATTTTAAAAAAAATTTTATGAGTGAAACACCATGAGGTACAATTGTAGACTTACAAATTTTTGTGCTTCAGTTTCAGTTATACAATGATCGAGTACCCATCCCTCCATGTTCTGGCCTTTTTAAAACACACAGCTTCTTATCTTCCATTCTAGTGCTGTAAGATTGAACAACTGGAGTGTTTTATGCAGCAAACCCCACTCTATTTCCTATTCATGAGGGTCAAGTTTTTGTAGGTTTGTTGTCCCACAATGGGGTTTCTTTCTTGGTGAGGTGTCTCTTTGCCAGTTTATTTAGGTGCTGTACTTTCCCCCTTCCTATGAGAACTTTGTTCATGGGGGTTTATGGTAAGTTTCTGCTAGATTTTATTTACTTTTGTATGGGGATCATACTTGGTTGTGCTCACGGCTTACTTCTGGCTCTGCACTAAGGTACGACTCCTGGAGGGACACCATATGGGGTGCCAGGGATCAAACCCAAGTCAGCTGTGTTCAAGGCAAGCACCTTATTCATTGTACTATCTCAGTGGTCCCAGATACTCTTGGATTAATCCAGGTGTTGGTGTAGATTTCCTGTGATTACTGGAGGAGGCAACACATGTTCTTTCGTCCAGTCATCTTGGTCCAGCCAGTATTATATTGCGCATTTTGGAGAGGGGTTTGGGCCACATCTGGTGGTTCTCAGGGATTACTTCTGACTCTGTGCTCAAGTATCACTCCTGGAAGGCTTGAGGGACCATATAGAGTGCTGGGAATTGAACCCAGATCGGCCTCGTGCAAAGCAAGCATCATACCCACTGATAGTATAGCTCTGACCTCATATTGCAATTTTTAATCACCTTGAAAGTGCTTCATTCCAAAACTCAGCAAATTTGATACATATCCATGATGACAGGATCATAAGAAAGCAAGAAGCTGGTGGCATGGTGGCAAAACTCATATAAACTTACCCAGAGTCAGTCCATTCTCTGTGGCTCATAAACACTATGTTTTAAGGAAAGAATAAAAAGGTTCAGATGTTACAAAGGTAATAAACTATAGACTCTTTTCTTATTCATGGGCCCAAAGAGCAATTTGCTGGTGATGTATGTATTTGCACAGATGGACCAGTACACATGCAAAGAACCTGTGGTTACATGGTTAGTGAGTACTTAAAAGTAGAGTTTCAATTCCAGCTCTTTTCCCAACTCTACCTATCAAGTCTCAAGTTTTTTTTCAGCAGCTGCAGAAAGTAGTCATACATATGCTTATTTGCATGACTGCCCCATATTTTTTCCCGTCTTTATCTTCACCAAACACCTCTTGGATCATATCTCCTGGCCTCTCTTCACACAGCAGAAATGGCAGACACTAATTTGGTGTCACTTTCAAGCACTGAATAAAGCAGAGTACAGATGTCATATTTTAAGGCCCTTACATCTTGAGGTGGGGATTTCTGACAATAGATTTCTGTGCTCTGACATTTAAACATCCTTTGTCTTTTCTAGGTCAGTACCACGAAGAGGATACTTAACTTGTCACCCCAACAATGGAGAAGTTATACTGTGGAGACAATGTATCACACTATCAGAGACTGGGGCTCAACTTGATACCAACTATAGAGTAATTCTACAGAACAGGAATATTAGAAATGGTTAAATAATGACTGATATGTTGGTTGAAATCAAGTGTCCAGTAAGAAAGTAACAGTGCAATGTGGATAATTTAGGTCACAAAATAGCTCCCAGCCTGAATCTGCTTCTGCAGAAATCATTTCAAGAAGACATCTTCTGAACAAAGAAGACATGTGATTTGGTACCAATTTCCATCAGCTGGTGCATGGACAAAAACATCAATGCGAAAAGGCAAAACTGTAATCCTTTGTACCTTGACTAAATTACCTAGAATTAAATAAAAGGTGTAAATGGTATTGTTTGAAATCTGACTCATTCAGCTCTTCAATAACCCCCTACCTGCTCACCTGAATTAATTTTTAAAAAGCTAGTTTCTTGAGATAGAAGAACACTAATAAGCCAAACATTTGTTTCTAAATTGTTCTTCCTGGTGCTTTTGTAATTGTGGTTTTAAATTACAGTATTTACTTTTTTTGGTTAAGACACATATTTTATGATGTAGGGCATTTGCCTTGCACGCAGCCAACCTGGCCAACCTGGGTTCGATTCTTCCACCACTCTTGGAGAGCCCAGCAAGCACCGAGAGTATCTCGCCCGCATGGCAAAGCCTGGCAAACTACCCGTGACATATTTGATATGCCAAACACAGTAACAACAAGTCTCATGATGGAGACATTACTGGGCCCACTCGAGCAAATTGATGAACAATGGGAGGACAGTGCTACACTGCTACAGTTCAATTTCATGGTTCAAAGAAAAGCAAGCCTGTATACAAAGGGTATATGAAGACTATAATGGAAACTATATATTCAGTTTAGGAATATTAGCTATCATCCAACACTAAAAGCCTCTTTAAAATTGCTGCAGAATGGGGAATGTCAGAAGCAGAGCCCAGATTAAAAATGTTTCTTTGAAACCCAAAAGCATATTTAGAAAATTCCAGAAGTTTGTGGCCATGGGTCCAGAGCAGTAGTACAGTGGGCGGGTAGAGCACCTGCCTTGCACGTGGCTGACTCACATTGAATCCATCCGGTAAAGACCCTAGTGTTCTTCCAGGAGTGATCCCTGACTGCAAAGCTGGGAGTAAGTCCTAAGCAATGCTAGGTGTGCCTGTCTGCCATCCCCCACCCAATAAAATAAAACCTTGAATCAAATTTCTGTGGCTATTATTTCTGTAACCTATTTGAAAAACCATTTTCCATTACCTAAACCAGAAGTCAGCAACACAGTTTTCTGTAAAGAGCCAGAAAGTAAATAGTTCAGCCTTTATGAACAAATAGTTGCTCACTTCAGAAGCACCCAGACAATATGCAAACAAATGAGTTAAGTGTATGCCAATAAAGATATATTTACAAAATGGTGGTGGGAAGATGACAGATTTGGTCCAGCGGCCCATTGTAATTTGTCTGCCCCTGGTTTAAATGAATCAAGTGAAACAAATGAAGTTTGAGGAGAAAAACTTGTAGAAATAACCATTCTGTGAGGAAAAGGAACTGATACTGCATTATAGTAAAGTAAAGTAAAGGCCCTCCCGTTGATCATTGAGTTGCTCGAGCGGGCCCAGTAATGTCTCCATTGGAGACTTTGTTGTTACTGTGTCTGGCATATCCAATACATCACGGGGAGCTTGCCAGGCTCTGCCGTGCAGCGAGATACTCTCGGTAGCTTGCCGGGCTCTCCGAGAGGGGCGAAGGAATCGAACTCGGGTCGGCCATGTTGGCTGCGTGCAAGGCAAACACCCTACGGCTGTCCTATCGCTCCAGCCCCTACATTATATAAATAATTGGATTTGTTTTTAAGATTCCCAAGCAGTGCTCAGGAGTCACTCCCAGTGATACTTAGCCAACAGGGCCTGTCAGTTGAATTTTAGGGGCCAGTAGTTCTGTGGGTTACCAGAGTGATACCCTGTGTTGCTCAGGAACCTCAGAATTACACCAAGTGATACCCAGCGAGCCATGTAGGCTTAGGTAATTGAACATATCGAACATATGCTTCTGAACCCTGAGCTATCTCCCCAATCCACAGATGATACTATAAAACACAAAGCAAGATTAACTCAGCCAGTAAACTTTTTTATTTTGGATTTTGTAAAAAAAAAGAAGAAAGAAAGAAAGAAAGAAAGAAAGCAAGCCTTGAGAGAAAAATTTGTTAAATATCAGTAAAGGGCAGGGGAACATGTGGCTAGCTTTACAATATAATCTAAACATACACACAAAGGCAAACGTTAAGTCAAATACTAGGGAATGGTAGCACTTTGGGGGGTCTAACAGCAGTTTTCCTTATTGCACATAAAAGTTGCTGATAATCCAAGTCTTCACTTTTTCACAGTTAAACATACTTTAATATTATTTTATAGAACATGTTTATTTATACAACATAGTATAATGTTAATTTTATATAACCATCAGTTTGCTACTGTTGAATGGATATAGAAGACAAAATTCTCCCCAATTACAAGTGATAGCTCACTATAAAAAATTCCCCGGGTCACATCATCCTGTGTTAAATTCACCCTATAATTCTACTTTTAAAGTTTTCTTTTTAGCGACTCAATGAGTCTTGGTGGCCTCCCATTTAATCATTTTAGGAGGCACAGTAAAACTTCCAAAGTACGAAGTACCAGGTGTATTTCTGTACAAAATGGAAACAAAAACCTAGGAAATGAACCCTACTATTAAGTCACACTTCGAATAAGTTATTTCAGTGATAAATCCCAAATTAATTAATTTAACACCCAAGTGAAAACCATGGCTTTGCTTCTCCAAAGCCCACAACCAGAATGATGGAAACAAAAGTCAATTCCCCAAATTATCCATGCAGTTAGTCATCCAGGGGCTGACACTGGACCTTAACCATTTTAAAAAAGGCTTTAGACAGCAAATGTACAGATCGTCATGATGTCTACAAGTCCTTCTGAGTTTCTCCAACACATACAGATGCTGTTAATTTTCCAGAGGCCAAGATTAGCTAACCATGACATTTGGCAATTCTATTGAGCTTTTTAAAAAGGGGGGATGGGCTGTCAGCATAAGAAAGTGACCTCTCCAAGTTTCAGACCCTTTCAAAAGGCAGAACAGGCAAAAACCCTCTTTCATCACCAAGGCCCATGTAGCAGAAAAATGGCTGCTTATGGGGACCATGGTTGAAGTATATACCCTGCTTATAAAAATAAAACTAACATCAAAAACTTTGGTTTTCCTCTTTACATTTCTGCTAGCACTGGGTGACAAGACAAAGCTGTATTTATGAATTTTAAAACACTCTACTTATGAAAATGGTTTATTTCTAGATCTTGTTTCGAAAGGACTGTCAAAGAGCCTACATGCTTTTTGTCGTTGACACTAGCATTGGATTCTATAGTATTTCTTTGTCTATTGTTCTCATTAGGTTTAGGATGGGGGAAGGTATTTTTAGGTATAAGAGTGGTGAAGCATCCAGAAGGGTTATTTCTAAACTCTTGGCCACTAGATTCCTTCAACTGACTGTATGAGAGTGCAGCAACTGATACAGGCAAACCAGTCTCACAAAAACAACATAAGAGATGGGAACTCAATAATGCCAGTAACTCAGTAACACTATCTAAAAATCAGTATTAAAAAGCAGGCATGATACTTGTCAAGATCTCCATTTTCAGAGTAAACTAAGGCCCATGTATGTATTGAATCAGCTGACTTTCCAATAACTCTCATTCCAAATGACATTTTACAACAGTAAAATCAATTCTCTGGTAAAGCTCTTAGAATTCACAATAGGTAGGTTTCTAACTAGGTGATTTTTACTTTGAATGAACCAATTATCCTGTAACCAATCTCCCCGAACTACACCAGTCAGGTTTCTACATTTAGAAATCATGATGTTCACATAAAATACATGACAAAATTGCATTAACTCCTACTGTGGACAAAGGAAAGATGCAATATGATTGAGGGTTGGGGTGGTGGATGAGGCATGAAATATATTAATACTTAGGCAAGAACCAATAATTATTTGCCACCTATACAGAAATATTCTTGGAGAGCTGACATAACCTTTTTGCATGTCTACTAAAGAGATTTCGATTAGTTAATAAAACCAAGAGGTCATTTTTAGTTCTAGAGAACACGGCCCAGTGAGTGTTCCTTGCTGTTAGGTGAAACACTTGCTACTGCAGTGTGAATTTTGGTTACATGAGCAAATGCTCATTTGGTCATCTCAGTAAGTCCCTTGGACTGTTAAGAGTTGATTTAGTAACATATGCCTTTCTTATACTTGTTTCCCAGGAAGAGATGCCAGCCTTGTTTGATTCCAAGCTTCTTTCTTTAGGACTAAAAGTTCTAGTCTCCTTGTAGACTCCCAACAAAATGGTTAAAAGAAAAATCATGGGTTTATTTCCCCCCCATCAATGCTATACAACTTTTTTCATCTTAATTACAGGTAACCACTAACACTTAGTGACAGCAAAGTCATTATATAACCTTCCACTTGGTGTATCAGCTTTGACAATAAACTCTCTCACCTTTATTCTGAGTAGTCTAAGGAAATTTAACCCTAGGTTAAATAGAAAAGATAGTTTCTCAAAACCCATGTTTGCTTGGTCAGTGTTTAGTTTGGACAACCCCTCCTGTTTTCCAGAGTAAAGATGAAAGGTCTAAAATTCTCATACTCTTCTTCTAAAATTCTCACACACTTCAACTCACCCTTCTTTCCCTTTCCTGCTCGAAGATTGTCAAGTATGATCTGCAGCCGTACTTCATGAAGTAGGTGCCTGATTTCTGCAAAGATCATCACCAAGAAACGTTTTCACAGCTGTATAGTCTGTATTATTCATTAACACTCAATTCATTTGTTTCACATGACTAACATTTAAAAAAAAACCCTCATTTGCTAAACCATTGTTTAAAAGAAGGTTCCAAACACGGGCCACTGCACTTTCTAGTATTAAGGTTTAACCCTCACTACAAATTAGAATTCCCAAAGGTCTGAAACAAAGCATGGAAGCCAGGCTCCAATCCAAGTCTAGGGAATGGAAATCTCTGAGGGTGGGGACCCCACATTGGGGTTATATTAAAAAATAACTGGCTAGGTAATTCTAATGTGCAACCAAGACTTATAACCTCTGTTCTAGAGAATATAACTCTGCTGAATAGTCAGCCCTCATCCTTGAACAAATATGGTCAGAAGATATGTTGGGGTTACTCTCTCAGAGGAATTCTGGCTGTACTATTACTAAGTAGTTTCAACCCAAATATGTCAGACTGGCGGAAGATCCTTGGCCTGGAGTTAAATGATTAAAAGCTTTATGGCACCCCACTTTTATTCCTTGGAATAGGCACAGAGCTTCTAAGGTGGAATAATTTTCACAAACAGACTCACTTGCTTAGAGATAAGGTCAGGATTATGCTCTTCATTTTGCAAATGAAAATTAGAACTATACAGATCAGTGACTCACTCTGCTGCTGCAGTGAATAAAAGACCCAAACAAATAACTATGGTCCTAGCTAAATTCTGTTCTTGATAAATCTCCATGGGCTTCTGTTTAGGTAGGTCAAAATAAAATGTATATACTTCAGACTACAAAATCCTCCAGTGTGGGAGTGGTTGGAAACATAAAAATTTACAGGAGATCTACATGTAGAGAGGGAGACTTGGTAGTTACTTTTATGTCCTATGAGAAAATTTTCATGAGATGCTAAGAACTCTCTAGAAAACCAACCAAACAACAAAAGCAAGAGGTTAATGAAGAGAGGCCGTGGTCTATCATGCTGGCTCCTTTCAAGGACTGTCATTGAGATTCCAAGAATTTCAGGACCTTATTAATTAAGAGAGCAAGGCTTTATCAAGACCTGGCCAAAGAGCCAACCAGCCTTTTTATCTCTACAAAAAGGAAACACATCCCAAAGTGTCCCCTTTTATGTTAACATGTCCTGGTTGGTGATTACTGAGATAACACTATTGAATAAAGACCCCTGGTGCTAGCTCCATGTGCAAGCACATACACACATTTCTGGTCTTCTGCTAAGCCTGGCAGCTGCTATCTGCAGCCCATGATATATGACCTCCCATTCAGGGGTTGTCTAAGAAAGTTGTTTCTGTATCTGTGAGTTGTAAGTTTTATTTAGTCCTTCACAGGCCTAGATAACCTGAGGCCTTGTAAGTTAAATGCGTTGTTCAGCACTTTTTCAAACCTGCAAAGTCATGAATGACCAGGTAAAAATCAAAGTAGACTTTTGTATAGATAGAGAGGAATAAAAATCACTCTGTTTATTGCATTGAACCTTATGAAATTGCCATTCCTTCCATTTATAATGGCCGATACAGCAATTTCCTATGGCTCAATACAAGAATGATTTTTTTTTCGTGGCTTGCTCAAAATGTCCATTTAAAACACATAGTGTGAAGCAATGCCATATTTAAGAATGAATCCTGAAAAATGTGAGCTGAGCAGATTAAATGGCTAATTTCATTATGGACAGATTAGACTGAATGCCTCTTTTGTCTGCCACAATGAGAAAATTGCCCACATTTCACGAAAGCAATTATTAGAAATCGAGTTTTCAAATATACTAGCATGAAAGCAGAGAGATATATGGAGACACAAGAGTCTCATTTACAAGAGTTCTTTAAGTATTGTCACCTGTTATAGGTCTGGTCAGATAGAATAGTTCACCCACAAAGAACCTAAACCGTAAGTTTTGAATCACACTCATGCATAAAGCTGATAGAAGATTTTCCAGAAACTCAGTAAATGTCTCTTCTCAACACCAGCGCTGAAATAGCTGGGTTTTTAATCTGATTTAAGATAGGTAGTCTCAAGGGGTTGAGTCAAGTTTCATTTTCAATTGACTTGCCTCTGATTCCTCAGATGGCAATGGCATCTCATGTATTTATCAGAACACTATCTTGTATAGTTTTTTCTTTGTTGCAGTAAACTTTTTCATAGCAAGATTCTTCCCTCTGGACCTCTGGATACTAGTCTATTTTCCCCTTAGACTTCTTGGTGTCTTTTCTTCCCCAAATAAAAGCATAGTACAAAGGTGACTGTTATTTCTAAACCCACAGTAGATATATCAGTCCTAGGAATCATTTCTCAGGCAGTAAGCTCATAAGGCAGCCCTCAATAGTTGATCAATTTTTTTTTTGGCCATGTCATCATGATCAGTTTCGAAAAGCGTTTCTCTGGTCCTCATGTTAATTCAAAAACAACAGCACAACACTATTTTGCCTTTGGTTTTAAACATTTCAGTAACTTCTTCTTTATGGAGCTTTCCAGAGAAGGAATTTATAATTCTTTCCCCCATGGTGAAACATTCATGGATCTATTTTCCAATTCGTCAGTCTAGAGAAAACACAGGTAGCAAAAACAAGAGTCAGGAATCCTGACATGACGTTGCAGCCACGAGGCCACTCAATTTGCTTTTTTCCTGTTTCATCACCCTTTTTCACACCAAATTCCCATAATCCTTGGAGGTTCATTCTCAATTGCCTGCCTTCATGATCTGGCCTGTTCTCTCCTAACTTGATATTCTGACAGGCAGCTGGCTAGCCTTGAACAGCTGCATATGCTAGGGAGCCTCTCCTGGGAGGAAGACCCCACACCAGCCACAGTTGTGTCAGTTACAGCAGGTGACTGAATTAAGAGACCAGGGAAGCATGCTATTTTTGTTTGGCTTTGTTTAACTCTGAATGGTGTGCTACTATGTGGAAAATGGGAATACATCTGCATTTGTCTTGATTCAGAGATACTTCCGCCTCAACACCTGCAGCCTGGATTGCAGTTCAAATAAGAAAAGAAATTTTTAGGTCCCTCAAAATCGAATAGTTAGTCACATTCAATTAATGCCCCACCTCAAATAGCACTGGACTTGCAGCCATCCTCACCCCACTGGTGGGCCCACCCCCTACTGCTTCAGGGATTGGGGTGGGGCAAAGTCATGCATTATCCTCTAGGGGAAATACTAGGCGGGTGCCCCTGTTTGAAACCTTCTGGTCTCCCATTCCCAGGTCTCGTTCCAGCACCTCCTCGGAGCCGTTCTTGGTTCTCCGACTGTCCTTGAGATTCATGGAGGCTGCATGGGAGCCTGAGGAGCCATTTGCAGTCACGGTGCTGTCTCCATAGGTCAAGGTGAGGTCACCCTCAGTCAGGATGAAATCTGAGTCTTCCTCCCTCAGAGGCTCTTGGTTCTGAAAAGTGCAACATCACCAATAAAAAGTGGGAGAGGCTGGAACACAGCGGGTAGGGGCTGGAGCATAGTGGAAGGGGCTGGAGTACAGTGGGGAGGATGCTTGCGATTCCAGTGCGATTTCAAGCCCTGGAATCTCATTTGGTCCTCTGAGCATGTTATGAGTGATTCCTGAGTGCAGAGACAGGAATGGCCCCAAAACAAACACACCCCCCCCCAAAGTGGGATACACTATTTTCGCAGGGAGGGGCCTGGGGTCAGTGTCAACTATACCCAAACTCACCTCCTTTATCTGTGAAGCAGGGTTAGGAAACTTGGCTGCCTTATGCTTCTAGCATGAAAACTGTATGGACACTATATGTATAGATTTAATGGACAGCACTCTTGCCTGAGCAAAGATGGCAGAAAATAGATCTGATTTTAAAATCCTGATCACTTGGCTTTAGTGACAAAAGGGAAGTGGGGAGAGCAATTTGATTTGTTTCCCAGCCCACTGGAAGAGATTGGGTCACTGATCAACCTGCATATAAGTTTTAGGGTCTCTTCTCTCTAGCTAGGTCTTCTGGGTGGACTTTCTGACCACAAAAACTATCCTAACATACCTGACTTATGTCTGAATTATTCTGCCTTAGTCAGCCATTGAGGGATGAGAACAAACAATAATTAGAATGTCCTTCCTGCTAACACAGGAAAACCCTAATAGGAAACACTCAGAAAGATGCAGCCAGTGAGGGGGTTAAAGTGCACTTTATTGAGCATCTACAATGTGCCTGTCAAGAAGGCCAGAAGGACTCTCATTTGATCCTTACTCCTTCCCTGTGAAAGGTAACCAATATTAAAGTCACAGTGAAGAACATCTGTAAGAAGAGAACCTGGGAAATGTGAAAGAGATTGGTTGCCCAGCTGGGAGGAAGCTGAAATAGGCTGTGTGCTGCCTCCAGACTGGTTTAACCCAGATACCTGGTGTGAAAAATCACTGTGTCAGGGTATTTTACATGACATAGGAATTGTAGTAAAACAGATAAGGTTGGGGAGGGGGCAGGGCAGCCACAGCCAAGATTCAGCTATTTAAAATGGTCAGAAGGCTGGGAGAGACCTGGAAGCAAGATGAGTCATAAATAACCTGCACTCTCTGGGAGGAGTTTAATGAGCAAAGCAAGGGGCTGTGTGCATTTCCCTGCTCTTCACCCTGCCCTGTACCCAGCACCAAATGTAGGGAACTTCTTGTTTCAGTTGTAAGTGAATGGTTTCAAATCTCTCTGGGTGCTGACCTCCCAAGCACATCTGCAGCCCCATGTCCTCTCTATGACAGGAACTCCTCTATTCATGACGCAGAATCTGCCTCTGACTCCCTCCCAGGCCCTGCTCAGCCACACTGCCCAATGCCATGGGCAGATTATCTATCTTTACCCAGAATCCTCATCTAGATCTGATGCCATCCCAGGTCAATGATCTCCTCTTGCTAGCACCTTTAGGGGCTTAGCTTCCATGAAGGCCTGTTAAATGCACTAACTCCAGGGTGAACTGGCCATTGCTTGTAAGCCTCTCCAGCTCCAGCTTGTCCCTCTGCACTCATTGGTGACAAGCCTCTACTTGTTTTCCACATGGTTTCTCAGTGATGTTCACTTCTCCCTGTGTTACAATGTGACATCACTTAAGTCATGCTTCCACTTTTTAAAAACACAGCTCCTCTTGTCTGCTACCTCAAACGCTGACTGGAATGGGGCAGGCTGCAAAGAAGCAAACTCCTCTACTCAGGCAGACCATCATTCTCTAATGCACTCTGAACTCCCAAATTTCCTCCTTTTCCATTAGTGTTCTAGAAAGTCCAGGAATTCAATTTGTTCTGTGATTATTTTCTGACCAACAAATGACATCATGTTCCCCATTTCAGCACATCCCATTTCTCCTGATCAGATATGTGTTAAGCAATAGTTTTTGTCTTCTTCTCTCTCAAAATAACTTTGCCAGGGCTCTGAGCTCTCAATTTTCAAATGGAAACTCTCCAAGCACGTATTTTACTGTTTCAAGGTTTAGAGCCATGGAAGGACTGAAAGGAATATGAACTGATGGTAGGTGAGGATAATTCAGCAAATGGAGCCAAGCACCTCTCCAGCAACACAGCAAAACTCCTCCCCCGACAAGCATGAACCTTTTCACTCTGATGCTTTACAGTGGGAAGCAAGCCAGAAGAAAACAAGACTAGATATTGACCTCTTCCATTACAAAACTCCCAAGGCCCAGAACAAGAGCACACAAAGAGAGGGTCATTCAGAATCAGGGTGATGGAAAGTTTGGTGGAGGAAGGACATCCCAGTCTAAGTTCAATGACAGCAACAGGCAGGTGATGAAAGCAATCTCCCCAGTCTTGAATTGTAGACAATAGCATCAACCAAGGCTATATAAAGCTGCAAGTCTGTCTAGCTGGCCAGGGAAGACAGAGATGAAAACCCATATAAATAACTGGAGTGCTGTGGGAACATGCACATTCTAAGTCATTCTATCTAGGTCATTTTCATTAACTGGAAGAACACTGTTTTCTAGGTGGACTCCAAACCAAAGTGGTTTAGAGCTAGTGAGATAATGATTCAATGGCCATTTTAGCTCTCTCCTAGAGAAACTTGGCAGAGTATAAAATGCTACACAGGTGTTGGGTGACAGTCATGCAGTGACTGCAGTCCCAAAAATGAAGACACTTGTGAGCATCTAACTCCATAAGAGAGCCTCTTCATGGGCCTTACCACTGGGTTTGCAAGATTCCTTAAAGTTTGCAAAGCTTCTGGGCCAAAGAGATAGAATGGCAGGTAGGGCACTTGCCCTGCACATGGGCAACCTGGTTTCACATGCTGCCATCCCATATGGTTCCCAAGTATTGGCAGGAGAAATTTCTGAGTGCAGAGCCAGGAGTATACTATGCCTGAGGAGCATGAGGTTTGGTCGAAAAACAAACAACAATAACAACAAAAATATCACATCAAAATTAGTTTGCAAAGTTTCCACTGATGCTCCACTGTCATGTTTGGTGGAAAAAATCAAAGACAAGGTCATGGGGGAACTAAAGTATTTTACCAGGCACAAGCAGCTTGCTTGGGGAGGTAAGCCCCGGTGCTCAGATGGATGTGCAAGTGTCAAGTTCTGTATCTGCTCACCAGGACTTTTTGACTGTTGCCTTCCTCCTGTTAGAGCCAAGGAGCAGCCCAGTGGCCCTGGTGGCCTGGAACAGAGTCTGCTCTTGGTACTGCAGTGGCAGGTTCAGGCCACAGGATAACTAAGAATTTATTATTAAAGCAAAATCTTGATAATTAAGGAGATATATTCCCTCATATTATGGGGGCTCTGATTTGGCTGCCCCTTATAGCATTCAAAGTGCTTACTCCACTCCACTACCCAAACCCTAGCTGGTGTCTATATCCATTTCCTCTCTATATCACCTGAATGCTCACCACCTCTCCCAGGCAAGTTTGACTGTAACTGGTTAGGGCCCTTCTCTCTCAGCTCTGGGCTTGGTGTTTGGTGTGGTCGCCAAGCATCAAATAGAAGACAGGTTCTATGCAAATGATTGTAAATCTGCATTAGGCCCTCAGTTCTGTCGATTACAAAATCCTGGGACTTTTCTTATTTGAAATACTGCAGAGTTTGCTTAGTCACAGATATGGCCAAGAGATTAAACTTGTCCTATCTGTGTTGTGACACTCAACACAAATTGGAAAGGATATTCTCTCCAGGGTTGCAAGGGTTGTATGCAGGACATGACTGGGATGGTGGAGAAGACATGGAAAAGGAAGAAGGAAAGCGTTTTCCTACTCTCCAGTCTCACCTTTCCATGGCTGTTTGCTCTCCCTACATTTCTGCCTAGCAACCTACACAAGGAGCTGGAACTCAGGGCCCTGCATCTAAGATATCCAACACTGAATGCATGCTTTTCATCCCAAGCTAGAATTGGAAAATGACAAGCAAAATATATCACCATATGTGCCAAGAATCCATATGTGGGAGAAATTCCTTAAGACTCATAGTATATGTATTTGGTACCTTAGTATTTAATTCTCATAGTCAACTGGTGATACTATGCCTGTTTTAGAACTAGGAAAATGGAAGCACAGAGCATGTACATAGTCTGTCAGGGTTTGGATTTGAATCCAGCTGTTCTCATTTAAGATTCAGTGTTCTTTCAGAGCTGCTGGTGTTTCGGAGAAACCATTTCCCTGATCAAAGGTTTCTCTGTTATGGAAGTTGCCATTTCTGATACTTGAGTGGTGAATCTGTGAATTTGGAGACCAGCTCAAAAGGCCTCTTCTTCCTTGGAAAGAGACTACACCTGGTCTTGTGAGCAGGGCTGCAAAACTGATGTGCCATACTTACGTCATATACTTGGGGGCTGGTCAGGCATCGGGCAAGCAAGCCACACCAAGCTGGAAGAGTGGTGGTTAGTGGTGGGCCACTGTGTGTAAGGATAGGCTTCAAGTAACTTTAGAGTGAGAATTAAGGAAAAAATGTCAACAAAGAAAACACATACCCAGTAAAATGTTTAGAAATCCCCAGGAGTAAATTCCCCAACATTCTAAACACAAAACAGCCTCTTTCTTCCACTTGCAGCCTGCAACCATCTGAATCACAGATTCAACTATGCTCCATGAACCTTAATTTTTAACCATTCATGCTCAAGTTGGAGATGCTCAATTTTAGGTTAAAAAGGAGTTCGTGTTGATTAATTAGGACACCCTTCTCTCTTCTTTGTTGTGCTGAATGAGAATTTTGGTGTCGATCAGCAACACAGATTTTGACATGTCATCACTCAGATCTTGAAAGCAGGAGTGAGTGCACTTGGAGTGGAGAACTGCATTCATCAGTTCTTCCCCATATTTTTCTTATAGAAGAAGACCCAGAGACCACGTGGTAGAAATGTCTGAGATGGACAGGACCATAGGCAGCCTGGACTATTACAAAGGAAGAGACTGAGACTTCACACTCAGGCCACTCTCTCATGCTGTCCCTCTCCCAGACACAGGTCATCTCTCCAACATAGTTCCTCAACTTCAGCACTATTGACATTCGGGGTCAGATCATGGCCTCTCTGGCTCCTGATCAAACTGCTTAATGGCCATGATCCCAGAGACTCAAAAACAAACCTCGGAACCCAGTGGCTTTTGGCAGAAATGAGTCTGGTCCCTGCAATAGGTTACCGGCACCGGGCCACCCTGGGTGGGAATAGGTTTTGTGCTTTGGCCTGTTCCCCCTGGAAGCTCGGTGGCTGCCATCCTCCAGAGGCCACTGGACAGTCAGGTTTGGGTCCACAGTGACGAGACACGTGGGGCCTCATGGGAGGGGGGTGGAGCTGGCCCTTTCCTTCCCGCCCCAACGATACCCTGAGTCGCCACCCATGAATGGCCTCTCTGGCTGCTTAACGGCCATGATCCCAGAGACTCAGAAAAAATCTTGGAACCCAGCAGGTTTTGGCAGAAATCCCTCCAGATTTAATTGTTAAAATTTCGGAATTCCAAAATCGCCTGGCCACTACTGCAGCCATGCGACATCATATGTCATTCATTCACAGTCATGGTCCTCCCGTTGCTCATCAATTTGCTCGAGCGGGCCCAGTAACATCTCCATCATGAGACTTGTTGTTACTGTGATGTCATTCATAACCAGCAATAAAAATCAAATTGTCTATGGGTGACTTTTCAGCAGTGTTGAGTGTTGGGGCAAAATCCCAAATAAATAATGGTGGGTCTGGGGTCAAAATATTGAATGAAATCAAAGTAGAGCAAGAGTAATGAGGAAATCATCTGCCCACAGGAGGGTGTGAGATTGAGGGGTATACTGGGAGTTTTGGTGGTGGAAAATGGGCACTGGTGAAGGGACAGGTGTTTCATCATTGTATGACTGAAACTTAAACCTGAAAGCTTTGTAACTGCTCTCATGGTGATTCACTGTCACTGTCACTGTCCTGTCCTCCCGTTGTTCATCAATTTGCTTGAGCGGGCCCAGTAACATCTCCATTTTGAGACTTGTTGTTACTGTGTTTGGCATATTGAAAACGTCACAGGTAGCTTGCCAAGCTTTGCCGTGAGGGCGAGATACTCTCGGTAGCTTGCTGGGCTACTGAGAGAGGCGGAGGAACCGAACCTGGCTCAGCCGGGCTGGCTGTGCTATAGCTCCAGCCCATGGTGATTCAATAAATTTATGAAAAAGAAAAAAAGTAAGGTGGAGTCCATGCCAATTCAATCAGCCATAATCAATGGCTGAATAAATAGCAATACTACTAGATTTAAAAAACTGAAAAGTAGAAACCCTAAAGTCACTAAGATTTATATTCAGACAAGATTTTAGAAATTATTCTTTCCTCTTCAAAGAATCTTTTTTGCCTAGACTTATTATAGTACAATTAACAATTCACGCATTGAATATATTTAAGGCAAACAATGAGATGTTTGCATAATATGCATACTTATTGCATAATATGCATACTTATTGTGAAATGATTACCGCAATGAAAGTTAATTAGTATATCCATTGCCTCACACACTCACCTTTTTGTATCTATGTGAAAACATTTAACAACTCTCAGCAAATTTACATTAGCTATTGTCAGTATAATACATAACAGTATTGCCATCATGCTGTATATCAGGTCTCCAGAACTTAAAACTTCTAGATTCTATATAGAAGTAATATGTCTTATCTGCCTGCCTTATTTCACTCAGCATAATGTTCTCTGGTTCATACATGTTGAAAAATATTATTCCATTGAATGCACAAAATTTTTCTTTTTTATTCAGTTATTTGGGGTTTTCTCGGTTTGTTTTTGGGCCACACCCAGCTATGCTCAAGGCTCACTCCTGGATCTGCACTCAAGGATCACTCCAGGCAGGCTTGGGGGACCATGAGGGATCTTCCTTGACATGTCTGGTATTAAACAATGGGCTTATTTTGCAACAATTCATTTGAATACACACACATTCACACATGCACACACATATAGTTTTGGGGCCACTTCTGTAGTACTCATGGTTATCTCTGGGGTCTGTACTCAACAGTCACTACTGGTAGGTTCAGGGACCATATGAAATGGCTGGGGATCAAACCTGGGTCAGCTGAGTGCAAGACAAGTGCTTTACCCATTGTACTATCACTCCATCCTCATGGTGACTTACCTTTTGATAAAATTTCGGAGGGTTGGGACCACACCCAGTGATTCTCAGGGGCTACTCCTGACTCTGTGCTTGGTGGATGGGTGGGGTGCCATGCAGTGCCAGAGACTGGACTGGGGTAGGCTGCACATAAGTGCTTTAGCCCCTGAACTATCCTATCCAGGCCTATACAATCTCTCTCGCCCTTGTTTTTATACCTTTTTTTTTTGTTCACACCTGTCAGTACTCAGGGATTTTTCCTAGCTCCACTCTCAGGGATCACTCCTAGTGGGCTCAGAGAACCGTATGAGATGCTAGGAATAGAACCTCAGTGAGCAATGTGCAAGGCAAGAACCCTACCCACTGTACTTCAGGCCCTATTTTTCTACTCTTAAATATTTATCTCATATTTCAATTTTTAAAAAGTCAACATTTTCAAATTATTTAAAGACATAAATAAACTTCCTGCCCTTTTAAAATTTTTTTCAGTTTAAGAAACCATGAAGTTATAACTTTTGAGTTTGAACATTTCACCTAAACCTACCAAGAGCAAAGTTAGCCCTGCATATGTCCAGTTGTGCCAGGTTAAGTTCCCACAAGTCCTGAATTCAGGAAATGGGAATTTTCCTTGCTACATGGAAGATCTCACAAATATCCACCTACATTCCTGCCTGGTCACGGCATGATTCATTGTACACTTTGAATGAATAGCTCTGAAGTCTAACATGCATGAATCTAACAAGCATGATTTGTGGGTCTAAAAAGCAGAAATGATGTACAAGCATTCTTCTTGACCAGAGAGATGCTCACCAAGGCATTCTATGGCTGAATAGTAATTGTATGTGTCCCACCAGAAACTGAGTAAATTTGTATACAAAACATTTCTCTTTCCTTACTCCTCAGAAGGCATTCATTCATAACAAAGGAATTCATCATCAATACTTTACAACCTCCAGGAAGCCAATTGAAAGGATACTTATGGTCAAAGCTGTACCACAGCCTGAATAGCCACGCACTCTCCTGTTTTGTACGGTTCCCTCTGGCAGACTCTGGACCATCCTAGAAACAAATAAGAGAGTAGATTCTGAGAAGAAGAAAAGGTGTAGATATAGGCAAGGGGCATAAAAGAACAGGGAAGCAGATTCTTTTTAAATCACATCTTTTGACAGTTTCAAAGGAGGTCATATTTTGAGAAAATTGAGTTCACTCCAAAAAGCAGTTGACTCAGTCCTCAACGTGAAAGAGCTTGGTGCTACCTGTAGGTAGATCAACTCATTCGAGTGTTGCTCAGAGAAGAAGTGGAGACTTGAACTCTCAAAGCCTATCTGTCTTCCTACTAGAAGGAGTCACACCCCCATATCCTTACTTCAGATTGCTTCTAGAGTCTGGAACACCATTTCTTCTGGTCATCTATTTTTATGTACATATACAGCACCAATACCTATATTCATGTTTCAAGGCTTAGCACAAGGTCAGCTTCTCTGGGAACTCCTTCAAAGCAAACAGAGTCTTCTAAGAGGTATAGGTCCGAACACTCCAGGTGCTCCTAACAGATCACACTGGTCCAAATCCTAGTCCTATGCCTGACCATGCCACTGCCTTGCTGTGTGACTTTAGGTAAGTTCCCTAAACTTTCTGTGCTTTGGTGTCTTCATCTATAAAATAGAGCTGTCCGTGGCATAGCACTCAAACACTTTAGCTCTGTACTGGCTCCCACCCTGAAGATACTTTTAAAAAAGATATTTTATTCAGTCCTCAGATTGTTCACAAAAAAATAAAACAGAGACATATCAAATTAAAAAAAAATAGAGCTGTAATTACCTTTCTTGTGGGAGCATAAGAAGGCATAAAGAATTTTTATATTTAAGCTGTCACTTTGACCGTGAGTGTGGAAAGGTAGGACTACAGCTGAATCTTACGAAGACAATGTTTATGAGAAACAGCCTTGTTCCTGACGCCCCATTCGCTCTCAATGGAACGACCATCTCCGAATGCAACAGCTATGTGTACCTAGGTCGAGAGGTCAACATGACAAATGACCTGGCACCCGAGCTGCGCAGGAGGAAGAGAGCGGCTTGGAACGCCTTCAAGAACGTCGAAGAAATAGCTAAGAGGACGAAGAACCTCCGGCTCCGGGCACATCTCTTTGATTCCACTGTTCTTCCTGCATTAACATATGCCTCAGAGACCTGGGCCCTACACAAACAGGATGAGAACTCTATTCAGGTCTCCCAAAGAAGAATAGAAAGAGCTATGCTTGGAATATCACGTTTCACTCAAATGAGAGAACGAATCCGGAGTTCTGACATCCGTCGACGATCAAGGATCAGGGACGCTGTCTCATTTGCCAAGGTGTCGAAAATCAGATGGGCTGGTCACTTAATAAGATTTAAAGACGACCGTTGGACTAGAGCTGTTACTGATTGGATTCCACGGGATGTCAAGAGACCGCGTGGCCGCCCACCTACCAGATGGTCAGACTTTTTCGTGAAGATCATGAACGATCGGTTTGAGGCCCTTCATGTTCCCGGAGCGAACAGATGCCATTGGGCTACACTAGCACGCGACAGGGACAAATGGAGATGTTACTGGAGCCCGCTCGAGCAAATCGACGACTAACGGGAAGTTAAGTGATTAAGTGATTAAGTGAAGCTGTCACTGTCTTCAATTGTTCATCAATTTGCTCGAGCAGGCCCAGTAACTTCTCCATTGTGAGATTTTGCTGTTACTGTGTTTTGCATATAGAATACATCACAGGTAGCTTGCCAGGCTTTGCCGTGTGGGAGAGATACTCTCGGTAGCTTGCCAGGCTCTCCGAGAGGGGCAAAGAATCGGACTCGAGTCGGCCATGTTGGCCGCTTGCAAGGCAAACGCCCTACCCGCTATGCTATAGGACAATATCTGCTATTCGGGAAGCACGCAATTACTGTCTCATTGTTATTAGCCATGGTAACGCTTTGATGATTAAATATTTTAAAAATATTTACCACAGTGTCTAACCCAGAGTAAGAACCTACATTTAATTCATACCCCCTGAATATATCATTTCCAGCATATATTCCAAAGGAAATTTGTCCATTCATGCCATTTGTCTATATTCTGTGAATTTTACAGAAAAGATTTTCTTAAAATATTTTTGGTCTGTGAAGGAATCACTATGACAATGATAGGGGGAAGTAATCGCTATGGACAAGAGCTGGGTGCTGAAAGGAGGTAAGGTGATATGCATGATACCTTTTCAATAACAGTATTGCAAATCACAATCCCCAAAAGGAAAAAAAAACTAAAAAAGAAAAGTGCCTGCCAAAGAAGCAGGATGGGGGGGGGGGTAAGAGGGAAACAAGGGCCACTGGTGGAAGGAAGTGGACACTGGTGAAGGAAGAGATGGTTGTTCAGTGTACAACTGAAACTCAATCATGAACAACTTTGTAACTTTGTATCTCACAGTGATTCAATTTTAAAAATCAATCATTTAAAAATGTTTGCTGGAGCTTCTCTCAAAGTGAGGGTCAGTCTTCACTGGAGCCAGGGAACCAGGTAAAGATCAAACAAAGGAAGTGCACACATATGCTGCCAGAGCCCATGTGCTGTCTGTGACCATGTGTTGCTGCCAAGTACATGTCACCCACATCTCCTCTCTTGAGATGTGTACTTTCATACTTTCACACTTTAACACTGAGACGAGTACTGGGCCTCTTTCTCCACTCTAGTGAAGTCTGTGTTTTCTCTTAAGTTATTCTCTCTCTCCCACTATCCCCTTTCCTCAAAACTTTCAAATAAAATCTGTTTTCACTTCAAAAAATATTTCTTGGTCAATGATGCCAGAGTGATAGTACAGTGGGTAGGGCATTTTCCTTGCACGTGACCAACCCACATTCGATCTCCAGCAACCTATATGGTCCCCCAGTACCCACCAGAAGTGACCCCCAAGTGCAGAACCAGTAGAAAGTCCTGAGCACTGTTGTATGTGATCCAAAAACAAAGGAAAAAGGTTTCTGTCAAGATAAAATTGACACATATGGTATACAAGGTGTGGATATGTTCCTTTTATATATGTACTACAATATTATTACCACTGTTATGCTAGCTAACAACTCGATTATGCTGCCTAACTACCTAAAGGAGTGTGTATGTGGTGAAAACAATGCAGATCTAATCTCTTAGCAACTGTATAGATTATAACACAACACTGTTGACTAGATTCACTATGTAGTGCTTTAGATCTCCAGAACCTGTTAATGAGTCACAATTTTTACCTTTAAACACCATCTTTTCAATTGCCATACCTCTAGTAATTCTCACTCTACTTTTCTGGGTTACACCACGAATATTTTTTTTCATTTTTGGGGTCACACCTGGTGACTTTCAGGAGTTACTCCTGGCTCTGCACTCAGGAATTCCTCCTGGTGGTGTTCGGTGGTTCATATAGGATTCCAGGAATCAAACCTTGGTTGGGCATATACAAAGCAAGTACCTTACTTACTGTACTGTCTCTCTAGCCCCTCACCACAGACTTTTTAACTGTTTTACTGATGATATTAATAGAAATTCCCTTTAAGAAAATAAACACCAACTCTGTTTCTTACTACTTCTGAACACTTAACTATTTCTTCTGCATTTATTGAGTGCCAACTGTGTGCTGGGTACTACGCTGCAACACACAGTAGTACAAGCCTCTGCCCTGCACCTTGGGGATTGTATCTCTTGAGGGGAAGGAAGACAGACGCATGTAAGTCACAAATGTGATGAAAAGGGAAGCAGACAAAAGAACTAAGATGTGCAGAGATTCTATTTTTGATGTTTTTCCCCCTAGAACAAATGAGTACTGATTTCTGGGTAGAATTCTATTTAATTTTATTTCTGTTATAAAAATTATACACATACATTTTAAGTTATGGTCAATAAAATAAGAATAGTTTATAGGTTTGGTTTTCCAGTGATAGAAAATGCCATAAGCAGAATACTGCACTCCTTATCCACAAGAATCTTGATATTTCTAGATACCAATCCCTGCAGTCTGTGAATATATAACATTATATGGCAAAAAAGGGGTTTTGTAGATTAATAAGTTTTCCAGCTTTGGCCTGATATGATGACATGGGCTCTTAAAACTGGAGGGCAGAAGAGTCAGGCAATGATAGCAATGATTTTAAATATTTTAGGGACTCACCCAGTTGCTGCTAGTTTTGAAGAGCCAGGAAATGCAGATGGCTTCTGATGTCAGCTGAGGCTGACACAGGGCCAAGGGCCAGTAAGGAAATGGGTCAGTCCTACAACTGAAAGGAAATGAATTCTACCAACAGCCTGAAAGAGTCTAGAAGTGGCTTTTCCCTCAAAGGCCAATCTGGCCACCATCTGGATTTTAGCCTTCAGAAATTTGAACCAGAGAAAGCTGCTGTGCCCACTAGCCATAAAACTGTATGACTGTGTGGCTTTAAGGCACTAAATTTGTGATTTGTTAGAGCAGCCAACAACAAAAAATAAATAAAGAGCAAGAGTAAAATTAATGATGCAATCCAATTTGGTCTTTTGTCTGGGATGATAGGGCCAAAATTTCTAAGAGGGTAATCACCATATTAAAGAAGAGGAAACTGGGCTTGGAAGATAGCTCAGTGGGCTGGAGTCTTTCAGGCACTGCATAATCCCCAGCACCTCTGGAAGCACAAAGCTGGGAGTAGCCCCTGAACACTACTGGGTGTGGACCCTCAACAAACCCACAAAATTTAAACAGGGAACAAAGAGATCCCTGCAGGGCTGCTTAGATTGTCAAGTACACAGAACCCTTCTTGCAGGCCCTTCTAAGGGCAAATTGTTGGTGTGTCTAGTTTGGGTCTGAGAGTTTAAAGTTCTACAAGTTCTTCAGTGATCGCCAAACTGTGGGTCAAAGGCGACACTGACAGTGTCATAAAGAGGTCAAGGATCCCCAAAGGAAAAGGAGCCAAGGCGTGACACCATATCACTGCTGACAACTCTACCCTTAATACCCTTAACCCTCATCATTTTATCACCAAGCCCATAAGGAGGAAATTCATGTCTTGTTTACAGGATTCCCAGAGCCT